GATGGCACCGGCACGGGCATGCCACCAGGGGCTGCCCAACTGGCTAGCTGCCCTGCCTGCTCCCCGCCCCCCCCACCCCACCACCACCCCCTGCCTGCCTCCCCACCGAGGAGATGATGCGTCCGTGGAACAGCGAGCCCGCCGGGTCCAGCAGCTTGGCCATCTCCCCGGCGTAGTCGCGGTCGCCCATGGTGTACACAGCCAGCTCAAACCTGGGTGGAAAGAAAGGGGGGGCGGCGGCGCGTCAGCACGCTGCCAGCCCCCGCAGCCGGCGCCGGGCGGCAGCCTCCGGGTGGGAAGCCAGGGCAGGCGGGGGCGCAGCCCTTGACCTCCCTGGCGCACCCCACTTGCCCCACTTGCCTGTCCTTTGCCGCCTCGAGGAACTCCCGCACCCCCGGGCGCAGCTTGGTCCACATGCGCATGTGGGGCAGGCAGTAGAGCATGGGGGCACCCTTGGGCTGCGCCTCCAGCTGCGCCCGCAGGGCCTGCTCACCTGCAGGCGACGCGGGGTGCAGGCACATGCATGGAGCTGGGCTGGGAGGGCCGGAGGCTGGCAATGTGTCAGCCTGCCCAGGCAGGAGCAGAGGACAAGGGTCTCCGGTGCCGTCAACCCCGGCTGCTTCCGTGCTGCCGCTGCCACCGCCGACCGCCCTCCCGCTGCTCCGTCACCGCACCCTGCGGCGGGACCTCTGTGAAGCGTGTGGAGTTGAGCAGCGTGTGGTCGAGGTCAAGGATGAGCAGCAGCTTGCGGTGCGCCAGCAGGCGGTCGGCGGTGCCCTGCACGGCTCCACACACACCAGGGGGGCTGCTCTTGGCACGGACTGCACGGCACCATGCACGCCGCAGCCACGCAGCAGCAGCCTGCGAGTGGCTGGCCGGCGCCGGCTGGTCGGGGCGGGCCCGGGGCCTGGCCAGGCGCCGCACCTGGCGCACGCGCTCCGCCTCGTGCTTGCTGACCACCAGGCCTCTGTGGATGTAGGTGAGGGCCACACCCTGCTCCTCCGCCTCGCCCTTGAGCGCGCCGCAGCGGATGCAGATGCCGCCCATGAAGCCGGGGTGGGGAGGGCACTGGGTGGAGGCGGCGGGCACAGTGCCGGCTGCCATGTCTGCAACAAGCAGGAATGACGGGGAGCGGAGTGCCGGTGGGGGTGGGGGCTGATCGGTTGGGGAAGGCAGCTGCAGTGGAATGGAAAAGAAGTCAGCGGCATCAAGGCTGCCGCGCACCTAGTCGCGGCTTCTTGGGTGCAGGTGCGTCACTGCACGCGAAGAAGACAGCACCGGTGAGGCAGAGGTTGGGCGGGGGCGGCGGGTGCACCGCCATGCCGCCGCGGCTAGGCCGAGCGACACCACCAGTAGCAGGCAATCGGGGGCGCACCTTGCACATGCTTCCTCCACCCCCGTGTCCCCGTCGGAAGCAGCAAGCTCGGCTTCAAGCAACGCCGCCAAGTCGTCCTCAGACTCTGACCCACGCAGGCTCATGTCGCCGGTGCTGTGGTCGTGCAGGCAACGATCGCAAGGAAGAAACTGACACAATGTAGTCCCCTGCTGGGATCCATCACCTCTGAACGAGGTGATCGCGCCCCTCTAGCTACGTGACTTTGTCAACACAAAGGTGATTGAGGCAAGGAAGCGCAGGTCTGTGCGTTACGACAGCTTTGAGACCTGCGACCAGTGGGCGGCGCCAGGTCAGCCGCATTGCAACAGCATCCCAGGTGCACAGCCGCATCCCAGTGGGGCAAAGCTGAAAGCACATGGCAGTTACTACTGCTTGGTGAATCGTTCTGTACATTACATGGGTCCCCCTGGTCATGGTTCAGGCCTTATTCATGATCCATGGTAATGTTCGCTAGTTGCGCATTGCACCGCAGGCTGTCTCCTCAGGCTGGCGGCAGCAGGCTTCAGGCATTGCCCTGGGCCTCCCTGTTCTTGGGATTGCTCAGCGGGTCGTCCGCCCGGGCATCGGCGTTTTGGGGAGTGGATTTGCCCATCTGCTCCTCCCTGCACGGAAACATTGTCGGGAAGATGTGAAACCAGCACCGGTGCCGGGGGCAGTCAGGAGGAGTCAGCTGGGTCTCCCAGCTGCGCACCCACTTGAACTGCTGGATGGCCTCCTGCTTCTCGGGCGGGGCGTCCTTCTCAAAGTGCAGCTCGTCGCCGTAGCGCTTGCTGCGCGTGATTGCAGCCTGCAGTGGAGACAGGCAGGCAGCAGGCAGAGGCATGGCAGGTGTCAGCAGGGTGGCGGGGTCGCCTGTCGCCTTTCCCATGCTTGGGGCCTGGGGCGCAGTGACATGGGTGGCCGCCATGTGGCAGCACATGTGGCCACATGTCTGCCTCACCTTTTCGCCGCTGCTGAGCCCGCCCATGCCGGGGTCGCCGTGGCGGCGGTCAATGTCTGCATGGGCAGTGGAAATGGGGGCCCAGAGGGTGACGGGACACAACCTGAGGCAGACCAAACCAGACAGCTGCCAACAGGCATGTGCAGCTCTGCTTGGTTAGCGGGGGCGAGCATCGGGGTGAGCAGCAGGGCAGCATGCCTGTGGCTGCCCCCTTGAACTGCCCCTGGATGCGAGGGCCCTCTGCACAGGCGCAGAGGGTGAGCCGCAGGTGGCAGGAAGCTGGTTGGCGGGTGCTGCTTTGCGGCGGCGGCGCCCGGCGAGCGGCTGCACTCAGGCGCTGTCAGAAGGTGCAAGCCAAGCAGCCAGGGGGCGTCCTGCGCAGAGGCCATGAGAGTTGATCGTCTGGCACCCTGCTGCCGCACCGCACCCACCGACATTCTCCTCAGCCATGGTGCCTGTTGCTGTCTTGGACACACACACACGGGCACAGACAAGGTGGGGAGCAATGTGGCAGCGGCAACGAGGTGCTCACTGGAAGACAGCCCTTGGAATCCCATACTGGAAAGAAACGCTGCTGCGCCTGCTGCCATTTGATGCGCTCTGGATGACACGTAGGCAGTTGGCCTGGTGCTGGTCTGGTGACTCTGTGGGGCTGTGTGTGTGTGTAACAGCAATGAGTGTCGACAATGGGAACGTCTACACAATCCGCCGCTAGTCACATACCACCATGTCTAGCGGCGCACGTGCGCCGCTCTCGAAGAAAGCGGCTCCGCCGCCTCTGACGTCACTGGGCACTCTGCCAATCCGTATACCGTCTCGTCGCCCAAGCTGTCTGCCGTCTCCGGAACACTGGCTGCCGCTCTCCCTGCGGCGTACTCGCCGCCGCCTCGCGGCGGCAATGCGGCTGCTGCTGCTGCCCCCCTTCGCTCGATGCACAGCCGCAACTATCGAACCCCCGAGTCTCTGCCGCCGGCATCGCCCCGCCAGCCACGTCGCAGTTCCCTGCGCCTGCTCTGCGGCCGGCCGCCCCAGTGGCGTGCCGCCATCGGGTGCCGTCGGCCCCTGCTACCTCTGTCGCCCGCTGCCCCCCGTTGCCCCTAGCCCCGCGCCTCGGCGGCAGCGGTCGGCAGCTGCCGCTGGCCCGCCTCGCCAGCTCCACTGTGGTCTGCCCATCCCCTCCGCCCCTGCGGAGGGCCACCCCAACCTCAAGCCCCAACATGGTGGGCAGGTGCCGAAGCGGACGGGTGTGGGGGCGTCGCAGTGCTGGTATGGCACGATGCTGCTGCCTGCAAAGAAAGCGACTGGGGAGGTTGGACTGTCAGCCCGCCTAAGGCTGGCAGCCTGCTCGCGCTGTAACGCCACCGGCGTACCGGCGCAGCGTGCTGTGCTGCGGCCCCTGGCAGCAGACCCAGCACAAGCCAGGCTCGTGTCTCATGCTCAATCGACACAAGCTTGCCGGTGCTGCCGCTGCCGGCGCCGGCGCCGGCGCCCGTCACCCTACGGAGGCTGACTCGGGCAGCTCGCCGGTCATGCTTCACAATAACAACAGGAACTCATGACGCTGTATGAAAGCATGGGGTATTGGGTTGGGCAAGGGCGATCACTACGTAAGTGCACGTCACCCCTCTTTCGCCACAGCGAGGGCGCCCGTGCACCTGTGCGCTCCAGTTCCGAGACTGTTGAAGGCATTTGCTCGCTTTGAGCTATGGGGTGCGGCGCAAGCAGCACGGGTGCCTGCGCATGTTTGTTTCTCTCCCCTCGTCTCCTCATGCTCACGCTGGTCTACGCGGGTGAGCCGGTGTCGTGCAAGAGGCCTTTTGGGGTGGCGCGTATCCGCCTGGATGACAACCGCCTTTGTCGCTCCCGCCCCGCCGTTCCCCGCCCCGAGCGGCAGCCGGTGTGCGTCACTGCCAGTGCACCCCTGCACCTGCTGCTAGGCGCACTGGCGGTCACTGCATAGGAGAGAATGTTTTCACTGTATGCAGCACTTGCAAATGCTGGACGACCAAGCATTGCATGCGACCCTGTCGCCGACCCTTCCTGCTCCCAGCGTGAGACGACGGCCCAGGTTGCGGTCACAACTGCTAAACGCCCGCCTCCACCTCGGCCCAGTCCTCGTCCTCCGCCTCAACCCCGTCCGCCTCGCCCCCGTCCACCGTCTCCCAGACCGCCGCGGCCAAGGTGGGGGCTATTAAATGCAAGTGGTAATGGCACTCTCGATCATTCCTGCTGATTGTGTGGGCACTGTGTTGAGATTTGGTACTGTTTATTGCAGACCGCCTCATCCCCGCCCGCCTCCTCGGCCGCGCCCGCCACCTCGCCCCAAGCCCCCTCCGCCCCCGCCTCGCCCACCTCGCCCGCCTGCGCCAAGGTGGGTGCCATCCGCGCACGCTTGTGCATGCTGCCTCCTCAAGCGTTGCTTGTGTTTAGGAATGCCAATGTGCACCCATTGCAGGCCGCCGTCGCCGCCTCGCCCGCCATGCCCCTTGGCCACACCACTTTGTGGAGAAGACTGCTGTTCCTTTAGCTGTAATGCTGGCATCTGCGACACCAGCTACTGCTCTCCAGGTGTGCAGCACACAGTGTGTTCCCCCTGCTGCGACATGGCTTTGTCATCAACCCCCCCCCCCCCCCC